TCATGTTTGCTTTTTTTCCCCAAAAACAACTGCCAATTCATCAACCCTTCTGATTCCTTCATTAACCCTTGAGGCATCCCTTTCTAACATTCCCACTCCTTACTCATGACCACATAATATCTAAACAGATTGACTAATGATATCTATTGTTTGCCACTGAGCAGGAGAACAGAGTGGCTACCTGGGGTCAGGGAGGGCGAAGTGATGAGCCTGAAGCAATGTGAGTTGTTAAGAATTAGTGAGCGACTGAGAGGGATCTTTGGGTTAGTTAGGTTCAAGGCAGTATAAGTCAGAAACATAACCCTACCTGTGTTACATATTTTCTTAGTGGAAAATAATTTTCAATCAACATATCTTTTACAAATTATATATGTATGGAATTATTTATAGAATATATATTAAGAGTGCTGGAAGTGTGAAAAGCTTGAGTTTTCTTCTTTGGAGCAGAAAAGGTTTGGGGTGGTCCTGGCAGAAGCATATAAGATTAAGGGGAGCCATGGGCACGGTGAACAGAAAGCAGTTGTTTCCCTTGGTTGAAGAGGGCATAATTTTAAGGCGAAAGGCAAAGGGGTTCAGAAAGGATTAGAGGAAAACCTTTTTCACCCAGAAAGCGTAGACAGTTTGGAAAGTACTACCTGGGAGGGTAGTTGAGGCAGGTAACCTCACAACCTGGAGTTGGAAAGTGGGATTAGTGTAGATTAAGTGCACCTTTGACAGTACCAACTCGATGAGCTGAAAGGCCCCATTATATTGTCTGTTTCTATGATTCCAGATGAAGGACAGCCATAGAAGATCGCATGCAGTTTGAAAAAAGACAAACCGAGAAACATAAATCAAAGGTGAGTGTAACAAAAGCCAAGAGTTTTAAATTAGTGAAAATCAAATGTAGGACTCAAGCTGACACATGGGGAAAAACTCAATAAAGCAATGAAGTTGGAAACCCTGAAAGCATTTAGAGACAAATGATTACTGTAAAATTAGTGACAATAAAGTCTTTTTCTCTATGTGAATAAATTGAAATAGGTTGAGCGGCTTTGCTTATTTATTACTTCCTTCAAAGAAAACTATACGATACTGCTATTCTGTACTTTAGATGTAATTACATTACTGTGAAAACCCCTACAAGGCCAGTGGGAAAATCACTAATTAATCTTCTTGTGCAGCTTGTTGAGTACGAGTTCCCTTGATAACAGGCAAAGGCCTTTCCAGCTGGAACTCATCACCTCAGTCCTCTTAAGAAAAGCAGACCAGGAAGGCCCTGTGGTGCAGTGATAAGTGTTCCTGCTCCTGGACCGAAACACCTGGGTCTCACCTTTTCAAGGTGTATAACAACAGGCTGGGACTAGCCTAGGTACACCATGAGTAGTGGTTCTATTTACGTGATCAACAATAAAGGATGTTCCTTTCCAATAAATGATGTTCCAGGCTTCCTGAGATATGGTATTGGCGACGACTGTCAAGAAAGGTTTGGACAAGCTTTCCTTCAACGAGTCCAGTGCGTAACCCATGCTGGGGAGAAATTGGAAATGCCACTGTTTAGTAAACTAAGGCCTTATGATGCAAGTGTGGAGGATTGACCTCCCAGTACACTGAAAGAATTAGATACTTTAATCAGGAAAATGGGATACAGGGGAATCACTAAAGTGTCATTCCCCTGGCCACTTGTGGGGCCCAAACTTTCATTATCGTAATGAGTTTAACCTACCCTGTGTTAAAGCTGCCCATATGTGAAGATAATATAAAATGGCTGCATAGTCTTTAGCTGACAAAGGATGTCTGAAGAGAATTGATAACTGAGGTAGTAATTTACACAGTCAGAATTGTGCCTTCGTCTTAGTGAGAAGGAATGATGGAATTTGGCTTTGAGACATTTAAGATAAGGGAAGCTCAGATGGAAGTCCTTTATCAAGCTAATTTAAAGTTTGCTATGTAACATGGAATAAAAGGGGAAAACTCAACCAACCTTAGTTAAGACCCTTTCGGTAATTATAATTACATATACACATATATATTTGTATGATAATATTAGTAGTTTCAATTTGTAGTAGTTTTTGAGTATTAATCATTGAGAATTTAATTAGATTCCCATAGGCAGTCAGCTCTAGACCCAGAGACAGTCTTGATAAGGAGTACCCTTGAAAACCCTAGATAAGAACCTGGTCCCAACTGGTCCAAAGTTTGTTATTTAGTAAACTGGAGACAGGGCTGCAGAAAAGAAAAACATCACAGAATCCCTACAGTGTGGAAACAGGCCCTTTGGCCCAACAAGCCCACACCGACCCTCAGAGAATCCCACCCAGACCCATCCCCCTATAACCCATCTAATCGACATCTCTGAACACTATGGTCAATTTAGCATGGCCAATCCACCTAGCCTGCACATCTTTGGACTGTGGGAGGAAACCGGAGCACCTGGAGGAAACCCACGCAGACACAGGGAGAAAGTGCAAACTCCACACAGACAGTCACCCGAGGGTGGAATTGAACCCAGGTCCCTGGCGCTGTGAGGCAGCAGCGCTAACCACTGAGCCAAATGTTGACTACCTGCAGCGAGAACCCTCCACTGAGGTGATTGTTTCAACAGACATACAACTGAAGGCAAGACTCCTACAGTGACTTTTCAATGGTCTTCAAAAGAGACGAGACAGTTGGCCTACTTACTATACATCTCTTGACTAGACCTGGAAGCAACAGGAATGGGGCAATGGGCAGAATGACACAGGATGCCCCATCGTCACAGGAACAAAGTGGAATCCTCAGACTCAGGAGAAGGGATATGATACCCCAAAGGCCTTGTAGGGGTTATCGCTAATTAATCTCCTCATGGAGCTTGCTGAATTCAAGTTCCCTTTATTGCAGGTAATGGCCTGCCCAGATGGAAAACATTACCTGAGCCTTTTCTTTTTAAAGCAGATGCAGGGAGCTCCTGGGACACAGCAGTAGTATCCCTATTTCTGATCCAGGAAGCCTAGTTTCAAATCCCAACTGCTCCAGGAGGTGTATAATAACACCTCTGATTAGGTTGATTGAAAATAACTACAACTAGTGCAGAATGCCAGCTTGAAATTTCTTCCTTTCCTAGTGAGGCGGGTGCAGGTCCAAAAGATGGGTCAATGCCTGACATAGCTGTAGGTTGTCCTACAATACCCTCTCCAACAAGAAAAGACTGACTTGCACAGCTAGGAACTGCACAGTACTCCTGTACAGCAAGAAGATGGGTAAAGCGCCAAAGTCTGCATGTGGCATCTGTCCTGGAAGACTCTGCGGTATTCGGCCTGTCTGACCCAAAGTCCTAATGAAATTGTTAAAGACCAAGAAGCACATCGATCGAACTTATGCCAACACCACATGCGCCTGCTGTGTACATGATGGAATTATGCACACATTCCTTATTGAGAAATGGAAGATAGCGGTGAAGGTGCTGAAGTCTCAAGCACAAAGCCAGAAATCAAACCATCTAGTTTTGTATAAGCAAGTAAGTTAAAAAACTAATTGGAAATAAAAAAGCAGACTCAAGGGGGTCCTGTGGCACAGCAACAGCATCCCTACCTCCCAGCCAGGAAGCCTGGCTTGAAGACCCACCTGCTTCAGAAGCGGGTCATAACATTTTCTAGACAACCTATTCAGAGATATCACAAAGCAAACCCAAAGGACTCTTGTAGTGCAGTGTTACTATTCCTATGTTGGAGCCAGGAGGCCTGGGTTCAAGTCCCACCAGCTCCAGAAACATCTCTGAACGGAGAGAAAAAGCAGACCAAAAGGGATCTTGTGGCAGTGGTATTATCCCTCCCTCTGTGTCAGGAAGCCTGAGTTCAACACCCACCTGCGCAGAGCTGTGTAGCAACATTTCCAAACAGGTTAATTAGAAAATAAAGCACACCCACTGATGGCGTGCATTTTCTGTAATCGGCTTTGCACGTAAATGTCTGATTGGCTACACAGGCGATTTACTTGAGCCAGTTAATAGTTTAAAAAAAAATCACAGGGATTTAGTGGTGGGAAAGCGGTTCAGTTGTGTGTTACAACACTTTTACTATATGAAGAAAAACACAGGCTTCCAGGGCTCTTGTGTTACAGTCTCCCTACCTCTGACCCAGGAGGCCAGTGTTTAAGTCCCAAGTTTAGAGTTCTGAGGAATGGTCACCGGACCCTAAACATCAACTCTGATTTTTTTTTCTCAGATGCTGCCAGACCTGCTCAGCTTTTCCAGCAACTTTGTTTTTGTTCCTGATTTACAGCATCCACAGTTCTTTTGGTTTTTTTTTTAAACATCCCACCTACCTCCAGATGTGTCATAACATCTCTGAAGACATTGATTAGAAAATATCAACATAAAGCAGGCTTCCAGAGCATTATTTAGTATAGATACATTAACTAGTGCATCAATTATTCACAATTTTCAATTTGCCCTTAACAAGGTAAACAGTGAATGAAACACTGTTCAAATAAATAATGGAGTTGTTCCAGAATGAGTCAAAACTTAGGTGTACAAATTGCAATGAAAACCTTAAGGTGTCCTACCAATAACAGGCACTAGTGAGTTATGAACACAACGGGCCAAATACAGGTACCAGAAAGACATGAAAAGGCCAGTGAAGGTGAGCACAGACATGAGTATTAACTTGCAGGTCTCGCTGGAAAAATGACTTAGCAACTTTTGCCATTATAAGTGCGTATGGTAATAATGGCTATGGTAATAATGGCAAAAATCAGTGAGTTTTCTACCTGTAGGCTGAGTTCTGATAACAGAACAACAGAAAATATTTTTAAAGTCACACACAGATAATGCAGAATTGAGGTGAGGAAATTGTCCTTCACAGAGTAAACAATGCATGACAATGCATGAAATAAGCTTGCAGACAGAATATTGGAGATTAAAAATACAAAGTTAGTTAACAACAGAGTGTTAGAAAAGAAAACTATTGTAGATCTAAGAATACCTGCCTGATACATAATTATTTAGTAATACTGCAATCACCGAGGGGTTTAAGTAAACTTACTTCACATAGAAATCCAGGTGTCTTGGGAAGTCCAACTTTCCAGCAAGAATCTTTTGATAAATGCCAAAAGGGTTGTCATCAAAAAATGGTGGGTAGCTGTAAAATAAATCATGCAGGGTGGATTAAAAGAAAATTTTTCCAAATTTTTTTTGTTTCCTGATCGATACGAAGGGGTCTCCAGCAGCAGAACAATCAAGTGGATGGCAAAACAGCAGCCTGTTTTACACCTCACCCATTTTTCTTACCCATTGAATAGTAAATTAGTGTTTAAAAAAAAGTCGAATGTTTCATGAAAATTTATCACGGTTCTTGTACTGGTTATCAGCAACATAGCCAAGATTAAAAGATTAATGTTTTTACTATTGGAAACAAAGTCTCTTCTTTCCAATTGTGTGCCAACTTATAGTCAAGAAACTGAATAATCTTTGGTAAATTTGGCATTATAGTTTGGATTGAGTAGGCCACAATGCAAAATGTCAATAAATCTGTACAACCTCAAAATTTCATTTACAACAGTTATAGCGAAATGATGAAAACACCTCGGTCATATAAAGGTATTCTTTGAAAGATCAAATTGAGATTAGAATCAAATGGTCTATCTTAGAACTGTCAAAGCAAAAAAAAAATGATGGCTTTCGACCTGTGCCAAGTCTGTGCAGGAGCAATTAACTTAGTTCTACTCTATTGTCTTTTCCCTACAGCGTTTTCCTCTTCAGATACAATTGCATTCCTTTTTGAAAACCGCAACAATCCGACTCAATCACATCTTCAGGTTGTCCATTCCTGATTTGATCTTTTGCTAATCACCTTAATTCTGTCTTCCGGTTCTCGATTTTCCATCATTTTGGTGACAAAACAAAAGGACTCTAAAATGCACACGCTTTTCCACTGTATCTGAATGAGAGCGTTTCATGCGTATACTCGATATAGAATGTGTGGAGTATTGACTTCTCAAGCTGGACATTTCTCATGTTAAAGCAAAACATCTTTGGAAACAGTCATGTAAATTTAAGCATTGTGTGTTAAATTTAAACGCAACCTTATGAGCAGTACATTGGCTCATATTCATGGGATATCTTATATTTGCCCAAGGCAGGCAGGCAGGCCTTGGTTTAACATTTCCGTCATTAAATAGTCAGATAAATTGTTGTGTTTTAGTCCAAATAGGTTCATTTGTGTTATGCATCTTCTATAATGCAGGTGCCATTTCAATTCACTACAAATATCTTACGCTGGTGCAAATATTATTATTAATCCAGAGAACGCAAGTTCACATTGAACCAGGACACCTTGAGCGTACAAAATTAGTTCAATAAATACACAATGAAAAGATGGTATCAGTAAAGTTATAAAAGACCAAATGATCCCAACACGTCTTTCATGGAAAGAAGTGTTATGCCTTTAGTCAACCTATTTGTATTCCACAAGGTAGATGATCTTTAAGCCATCAATTGGAAAACATTTTGGAATGTCCTTCTCTGCTTTTTGCGCCATGAAGTTTGTCAGCATCCTTCACATGCTCCATGACAACATGGAAGTTGTGGTAATGATAAATTGCTCCACTACTGACCCAGTCCATGTTCAGGCCAGTGTTAAGCAGGGCTGCGTCACTGCCCCAACATTGTTCTCGATCTAGCTAGCTACAATGCTTTACCTCATTGTCGACAAGCTCCCAACTGCAGTGGAGCAAATGTACAGATTCTAAGAAATTATTCAACCTGCAACATCTTCAAGTCAAAACCAAAGTCACCCCAACCAGTGTCACTGAGCTGCTGTATGCAGATAACGTTTGTGTAAGTGCCATCTCAGAAGGCGTACTGCAGACGATTGTCAGCACCTTTGGGGAGGCAGACAAGAGCATGGGTCTCGCCCTGAAAGTCCGCAACATGAAGGTCCTTTATCAACCTGGCATGGCATTGTGCAGCAAACCCCCAATCATCAAGGTCCACAGGGAGGCCTTAGAGAATGCTGACCACTTCCAACAGCTTGGAAGTATCCTGTCATCCAAAGCAGCTATTGATGAACAGATCTAGCATCGCCTCCAGTGTGCTAATGCAGGCTTCGGATGCCCGAGGAAAAGGGTGTTCAAAGAACAAACGATACCAGATTCAACACAAAGGTTACAATTTACAGAGCTGTGGTGGCTCCCGCCATCCTATATGGATCTGAACCTTTGACTATCTACAGCAGACACCTCAAGACAGTGGAACAATACCACCTATGCTGCATGCACAAGATCTTGCGTATCCACTCTGAAGAAAGGCGCACCAACACCAGCATCCTTGACCAGGCCAACATCCCCAGCAGAGGCACTGACCACCCTTGATCGGCTACGACCGGCTGGGCATGTGGTTCACATGATTAACACAAGACTCCCCAAGCAGGTGCTCTACTCCCAACTCCAGAATGGCAGGTCAGCTCCAGATGGACAGAGGAAGCACTTCAGTGATATCCTCAAGGCCTCACTGATGAAGTGCGGCATTCTGGCAGACACCTGGGAATCACCAGCCCAAGACCATCCAAAGTGGAGAAGGAGCATCCAGGAAGGTGTCCAACACCTCAAGATTTGCCACCGGGAAAGATGGAAGCCAGGCGAAAACAGCGAAAGGAGCATACTGTCACACCAATGTCCTACTCACCCCTTTCAGTGACCCCAACCTGCCCCAAGCATTACAGCGCCTGCAGTAGCCTCATCGGTCTGTACAGACACCTACGGACTCAGAGCGTGGAAGAAAGTCATCCTCAACTGCATGGGACCGCTGATGATGATCCTTAACTACCCTTCAAAATTACATAGAAAGCCACTGAGTTACTTTCTCATGGCAACAAGGGATAGCTAGTAATACATCGGCTTACAACACCTATACCTCAAAAGTTGACTCCATACTTTGTGGCTTAGCATTGTTTAATCTGCAAAAGTCAGAATTATGTTGGCAACTCAATATAAAAAGTCTATTTCTCTAAAAAGTTCAAGTATAAATTATCAACTCTAGTCAAGCAGATGAAGCCATTCAAGCAAAGTTTTTTTTGCAAACTATTCCAAAAGTCACTGGCTTTTACAGAAGGAAAAAGTCTCTCAAATTATAATTTGCCTCCACCAATTGGTACGTTGCCTGCCAAAGAGCTCACAGGCCATAAACACCCTACCTTCAGTCTTATAAACCATTAGAGCCTGGAGTCTGGAAAGTTTCTTGGCAAATGTATATTTTACACTTCGGTAAAAAATAAAGGAAGCTTTGAACAAGGTCATAGAGAAAGAATGGGGAATCCACAGAAAAAAAAACAGAACCTTAAGTAACCTTGGTGCTTTCTTATTAAAGCCACACTTGTTGAAATAACATAGTGCAAACAATTTAACATCAAGTTACTTTATATGAAAAATGCTGAATGTTTCTACAGCAAATTAATTCTTCAGGAACATTTACCATTAGTGCAAGATTATAAACTATACCAACAACATCCAAAGACATTTTTATTTAGTACTTTTGTGAGCATTATGAAATAGAATCTGACAGAGTACTATAAAATATGATACAGGAGAAGTAGCCAAACACTTGGTCATAGACTTTTGTAGAGGTTCAAGATGGGAATGCCAGAGCTAAGTGCTTTGTCAACTGAAGGCATGGCCACCAGCATTGGAGTTATAAAACCAAAGGATGTACATTTGTTGAGAAAGCATAGAAGATAGGAGGTAAAAGAATACAGAGATTCTTAGCAGTCATGCATGCATGGATTCAACAACAAGGAAGTGTTTTAAAGTCTAGGCATAGACAGACCAAAAATTAGTGTGCATTATTGAGCACAGACTTAAAGGGTGATTAAAATGGTACAAGTTAGGACAACAGCAGAAAATGAATTCAAGCTGATGTTAGGGAAGGCTCCATTCTTTGTTATTTAAAAATTACTTTTAAAAATTACATATATTCATGAAAGTCCATGCAAAGTATACCAAACTATATCAACATGTTCAAGGGTTGCTGAATTAATGCCTTTAAGAGCCCGAAGTATTAAAAGAAATCTTAGAATCAGAGGGCACAGCACAGAAACAGACCCTTCGGTCCAACTCATCCGTGCTGACCAGTTTTCCCCAAATTGAACTAGTCCCATTTTCCAGCGTTTGACCCATATCTCTCTAAATCTTTGCTATTCACTACCTGCCCTAATGTCTTTTAAATGTTACAACTGTACCTGCATTTACCACTTCTTCTGGCAGTTCATTCCATATACGCACCAACCTCTGAAAAAGTTACTCCTCAGGTCCCTTTTAAATCTTTTTCTTCTCATTTTAAAATTAGTTTTGAAGTTTCCTACCCTAAGGAAAAGGCCTTTGCTATTCACCTTATCTATATCCCTCATGATTTTATAAACATGTATAAGGTCACCCCTCAATCTCCTACTCTCCAAGGAAAAAATGTCCCAACCTATCCAGCCTCTCCTAATATTATAAAATGAATTCGTACGGAGTCAGATTTCTGTTTTGGGAACAATATTTTATCTTTCATTATGGACAAACTTTGCCAAACAACTTCAAACCATCTACTTCCAAGATGTCAAGGGGCTTATAAATGTTTAGGACAAGAATGATTTTCAATCAAAATGATTGGGATCTTCATACTTCTCTTAACCCTGCAGATTATCACGAGTTCCAGATGCCAGGGTTAATGAGTAACTGATTTGATCTAAGCCAAATTCTCCCCTTACCCAACATTCTCCTCTGTAAAATGTTTAGCAGGTGTTACTAGATTGTGATCAAGTGGACAGCTCTGGTCAGTTTTCCCTCTCCCACCCTAGTGAACAAAAGCCAACCACAGCATCCCAAGACCATTAGTTCCGTGATAACAGACAAATAAAGCAGAGACAAGGATTAAACGTGACAACATTCTGTTCTTTGCACTTCCAGTACCACACTGGATCGATCTAATATTTTGCAAGAGATAGAGAGGCTCTGTGGGGGCTTTAAATATTGATTCATAACTATTCCACTTAGCAAATGAGTTGTCAAGTACTATGCATGGAGGTTAGCCTTTTGGAGTAAAAGTTTAATAGTTTTCTCAAAGATAAAAATTCCTCCTGGTTCCTAACCTGAAGAGAAAACAGTTTAATTAAAAACAAGTAAGCTTCTTTTTCAATAACTCCAAGATTAAATATTGCCAGGCAACATCTATTAAATGAATTATGTTAGCAACATGAAGAACTTGATGGAATCAATTTTTTTAAAAAATCTCCAAAACACTTACCCTGAAAGCATTTCAAACATCAGCACACCCAATGCCCACCAGTCCACAGCTCTCCCATGACCTTTACTTTGTATAACTTCTGGTGCGAGATATTCTGGTGTCCCACAGAGTGTCCAAGTTCTAACAAAAGGAAAGATGATGTTGTAATTCATTTTCTCAAAAAAAAATCAAAGTAAACTTACATTATTGATGAAACAAAAACCGAATAAGAAAGAAGCTACACACAACTTGACTAGTTTTATTACATGCTGTTGTTTCAAAAGATAAAATTGCTATAACATGTTTATCAGCATAGGACATGCTTCTACTTTCAGTTTAATGTCAGCAGCAGACAGATCAATACATTCTATTAACAGACAGCAACTTCCAAACCCATGACGACTACCATCTAAAAGGACAAGGGGCATCAGACCCACTGGAACGCAACCACTTGCAAGTTCCATTCCAAGTGACGCACTTGGAAAAATCTTTTTTAAACTGCCACTGGGTCAAAATCCTGGTACCCCTAGACCTAACAGCATTGTAGGTATACCTATGCCAAATACACTGCTGTGGTTCAAGAAGGCAGTGCACCACCACTTTCTCCAGGCCAGTTCGGGATGGGCATTAAGTGCTGACCCAGCCAGTGAAGTTCACATCCCCAAAATGAATAAATAAAATGTTCCAGTTCCTTTTCCAAACCTCTCGAGTCTCCAACAACAAAACACATACTGTGGGTCCTACCCACTTAATTATAATTAAGTGGGAACATCCACAGGCAAAGATTGGCATCTATAATGAAAGTTGGCAACTCACTCTTTTTCTCCATTACCTCTCAATCTCGACCACCTTTGTCGGATTGGCTATCCGGCATTGTAATTTAGAGGAATAACAACTTCCTCCAAGATTAGGAAAACTAAAGTGACTGTTTTGGCTCCAATTACATACTCTTTCTTGTGTCACTGCATGCTCCACCCCAGTCCACACAAAATGCTTCTGCCCTGTGACCTAACACAAAGTAGGAACAACAATAGATGCCAGCCATGAACACAATGAACAATGCAGTTTCAAAAATTCAACATCTATCCACTCATTCACTGACATCACTTTTACCTGCTCAACAGCACCTGCTCCTGCCAATATCAAATCTCCTCCACCAGTGAAACTTTTCTCTACGCCTTTAGTAATCACTATAATCAACGACCACAATTAGCCTCCATCCTTCACAAAATTCAACTTGTTGGAAATGCAGCTGCCTGGATGTTATTCATCATGGATTCTTGCTCATCCATGTCCACGATGTTGTCTCCTTGTTCCCGAACATATTAGCTCCAGGACCTCAACTTCAAACCCTTCCACTTGGCTTGCTTCACCATAATGCTACAACCTGTTCTTCCCCAAAAACCTTTTATTACTCTTACTCTAGCCTCAAATGAACCCATTTTCTCCACTGTTTCCCATACAGTTCAAAATAAAAAAAAGTCACTATTTCACTGGGCCCAAAGTGAGTATTTTTGAAAGGGGATGGCATGTTACTTGGTGCAACAAGACAATAAGAGCACAAGGGACAGGGAGGTCTTAAATATGCCAAAGAACATCTGCATTTTACACATTACTGAATGAATCATACTGTAAAACTGTGCACAAATTGGGCGTCTAAAACTTGCTTCTTGGGTACAGGCAACACTAGCAAAGATGAGAAAAGTTGAACGAATGAACAAGATAAAATTACAGTAATATTAAACTTCAGAAATATGTGCAATAATTAAACAAGTATATTGGCAGTTTGTGATTAAAATACCACCTAATCTGAATTCTGAAAGTTCAATAGACAATTTCAACAGTCAATAATAACTTAAGGTATTTAAATCTGCATAACTTAGTAAAGTGATAGCTTCAGTAAACGTAATTTAAATGAGAAACAAAGACAAAAATTGAAACACTGAAGCAGCAACTTAGTTTGGTCTACTTATATTCTACTTCTCTGCAAGAGTTAAAAGAGCCTTGCCAATTTTATTCTTCAAACATTGTTTTTCCCCCCAGTTCCCCAAAGTCAAATGTAGGCCAGGCCAGGCAAGATTGGCTCTCAACTGACCAGCTTGCCACTTAGTTCAAGGGCAATTAGGAATGGACAAAAAATGCTGGTCTATCCAGTCATGTTCTCATCCCATGGAAGATGAAGGAAAAAAAAATTCTGAACAGATTAAATAGTAATTCTCAGCAGAAAACACAGGACATTTTTTTTTAAAAAAAGGCCAATGAATAACTTTTGGGGTTCTAAATACTTGAATAGTTTTGATCCAAACATAACTAACCTTATCAGTTTAACTGGAGGGCAACACCACCATCTGCTGTTAGAATAAGTAAGTGCAGGGCATACATGACAGTTACATTTTGCTTGTTAAAAGAGTTCGATTGAACAGTTAAACCTTGGGTTGCTACAGGATTCGGCTAACAGCTGAGTATTTCAACATATATAAAAAAAATTGATTACCGAGAGAGAATATTAGAGAGAGGAATACCAGGGTGCACACAATACTGAGAGAGATGGATAGCACTGTTATAAAGAATACGAAGCCCTAAAATGAAATTAGAGTAAGGGAGAAGGTAATGAAATCAAAATCAGGGCTACTGCGTATGTAAATGAATGCATGGAGTACAGTAAGAAAGGTTTAAGAGTTACAATTTGGGATTATCATGTTGTGATGACAAGAGAGATCTGGCTCAAGAAGGATCAGGACTGGGTTAAATAATCCTGGTTATATGTTCAGAACAGATAGGAAAGGAAATTGAGGCGGCGTAGAGGTATTGGTTAAAGGAAAGGATTGATACAGAAAGGGGATATTCTAGACGGTTCATAGACAGAATCAATGTGGCTAGAGCTGAGGATCAAAAGGATACATTACACTGTTTGGTGCAATTTATAGGCCACCAACAAATCTACAAGGAAATTAGAGATGTGCAAACATCAGAGTAGTTACAATGGAAAGCTTTAATTACCCGAATACACAGATGGGACGTTGGTCATGTTAAGCGCAAAGATGGGAAAGCATTCCTACAATGTGTTTAAGAGAATTTCTTATAGGAGTAGATGTCCAGCCTTACAGAAAAAGAACACTGCTAGACTGGGTTCTTGGGAAAGAGGTGGGTCATGTACATTAAATGTCAGTGAGGGAACATTTAAGAGACAGTGATCATTGTATTATAAGGGTCAGGATGATGGTGGAAAATAGTAATGGTCAATCGGAGAAAGCATAACCAACTGGCAAACAAGTGAGATCAATGCGGGTAAGAGCAGAGCTTAACCAAATAGACAAGAACCAAAAGGTGGTTGGGAGAAACTGTAATTGAACAAGCGGTTACCTTCAAAGAGGAGATGATTTGGGTACAGCCAATGTATATTCCCTAAAAATGGAAAAGTTGGAAACAAGAAATCCAGAGCTCGCTGGATCACCAAGGAGGTTGAGACTGAGGTAGGAAAGAAGAAGTATTATGAACGGTGTCAGGTGGTAAATGTAATTCAGGAGGGAGGTGAAGAAGCAAATAAGAGAATCAAAAAAGGATTAAGAGAAAAGACTGGCAGCTATCAAAGAGAAATTCCAAAGTCTTTGATGAACAATACAATGGTGGTTAAAAGGAAGAGTAGGGCCAATTAGGGACCAAAAAGATAATTTAATCATGGAGACTACAGGCATGGTTACAGTGTTAAATCAATACTTTGCATGTACTTGCAAGACAGATGCTACGTAGGCTATGGTGATGAAATTATTAGAAGCATTTAGAATGATAAAGGAGGAGATAGTGAATAAACCAGCATTTAAAGTTGAGAAGGCACTGGGACCAGATCAATGCATCCAAGGATAATGAAGGAAGTGGGAGCAGAAAGTGCAGAGAGACTACCAATTCTCTGTCAATCTTCCCTGTATTCAGGGATGGTGCCAGAGGACAGGAGAATTGCAGCATTACATTCTTTTTCAAAACTGTAGAGATAAGTGAAGCAATTACAGGCCTGTTAGTTTAACCTTAGTAGTGAGGAAACTGTTAGAAACAATTGTTTGGGATACAATGAATACTCACATGGAAAATGCAGGTTATTTATAAAAGCACCAGCATGGATTTCTCAAGGGAAAATCACATCTGACGAACTTACAGGAATTTTTGAAGAAGGAACAAAGAAAGCTGACAGACTTGCAGAAAGTGTGTGATACAGTGCAACACAACAGACTTGTCAAAAAAAGTTATACCTCACAGAGTAGAAGTGGGAGTAGCCACATGGATACATGAAGATGACAGTGTAGGACAGCAAAAGGACATTAACAAGTTGGTGTAGTGGGCACACAGGGGAACAGGGTACAACAGCACAAAAAAGTTATGCTGAACTGAAAATATTAATACTTGAGCTGAGGTTTAATCATGTACATTCAGATATGGCAACCATATTATAGGAAGGATGTGACACAGTGAAGAGGAACAGCAGAAGGGGTTTCCACGAATGATTCCAGGTATGAGAAACTTCACAGATTGGAAAAATTGGAACTGCTTTCCTTGGGGAGGAGATGGCTAAGAGAAGACAGAATCAAAGACCTGATGGAAGCTTTCAAAATCATGACAGGTTGAACACAGTAGAAAAATAAATTGTTCCCACTTGTGAAAGGATTGAGAACTGAGGGCACAGGTTTAAAGTGTTTTGCAAAAGCAAAAGAAAAAATAAGGTGAGAGCAAACTTTTTTCACACAGCAAATTCTTAGGGTATGGAATGTACTGCTGAGAAAAAAGGCAGAAGATTGGCAATAAGTCAAAATAAGTCAGACAAAAGCTGAATGAGAGATAGTAGGAACTGCAGATGCTGGAGAATCCGAGACAACAAGGTGCAGGGCTGGATGAACACAGCAGGCCAAGCAGCATCATAGGAGCAGA